TTCATGGACCTGGGTACAAAGCTCAGATTATCTGCTTCTGACTATAAATCAGAGCTTCCCAGGACACCCTTAGTGGGTTTGAGTAATTTGCAAGATAGCACACACAACTCAGGGAACCGATTACTCATTAGATCATGGATTACAAATAAAACTCAGGAACAAACTAATGGAAGAGAGCAAGGTATGGGGGAAAGGTGTGGTACACTTCCATGCCCTCTCCAGGTGTAGCTGGACCCTTCCATTTTGCAAAAACTCCTAGGCTAAAAATGTAGGAATAAACAACCAACTGAATTGTATTCCCTCTTTAGGATTAACTGTTAACTCGAAATAGCACTCCCCTACTCTGCATGATTAATTGTTAACTGGCTCTACCTGCATTCCTGGGAACTTGGAAAACTGATTGTCACATCCCTGTTAAATTGTGTCCCCCTGGGGTTGACGGTGGCATTAGAGATGCCACTGCTGGCTTCTGAGAAAACAACTGGGAGAGTCAAACATCTTGGTTCAGATGACTTTGGTTATCTGAATGAACAAAATATTTCTGAATGATCAAAAAATATTTCTTATAGATCACAATATCACATCAAGCTTTTAAAACTTTGATATTGAATATGGAATTGGTATGCAACAACTCCCATGTTTGAATTTTTATAGTTAAACCTTTATAGAAAATTAACTTCACTGAGCCCCATATAGTACACCTCGTTGATCCCAATGGGTAAAAAATTGTATATTTTTTATGCATTCCAGGGTTTATGAAATATTCAGAAGTGTAATAGAATGAAGTAGTACTGAGTTTCAGGAGGTTTCACACAAACCTCCTCAGTTCTCAAACGGAAGGGCAAGGAGAGACAGTTGCCAGGGATGGATGGAGTCTGACTTTTGCCCTCCGCTCTCAGTAAACACTGAGAGAACACTGATTATAACATTTGAGTTTCAGGTGAGCAGCATTATGGTTCGACATCTGTGTACACTTTATTATTCTCAACACTTAAGGTCTGTTTCCCCATCCATCACCCTGTGACTCAAGTACTTAGGCTAATGGGCAGCATCTGCTTCAAGCTTTTGTTCATTCATAGGTAAAATGAGACCAGTAGCCACAGAAATGGACCCAACTGGTTACTCCTGAGGTAGCAACTAAGTGTCTTGAGCAAAAAAGGAAAAGTGTGAAAAAGCACCGGGGCTGGAAACATCCACCCATGATTTCTGAACCCCTACCCTGAAGTCTCCACACAGCGATACTCCCAAGTCAATAGATCCCTCTCTCCGCTCAAGGAGAAGCTGCTTTCCAATGCAAGCTCTTCCTTCCTTGCAGGCGATAAAGGCCTGGGTCTGTTAAACCTAGTTTGAGTTTTTGGCTTTCAGTCACCAAGCTTACTGAATTGCACCCCGCATGCCTACCTTTACAGGGGGTGAGGGGATTCTGCAACTTACAATTGACCCACTTTACCCATCTCACCCACCTGAGAGCTTGAAAAATATTTTGCTAAAGGATCATTAATAATATGTTAAACAATCATTTGTGAAAGGAGCAGCCTGTATGTCTACCATTTATACTTTAGTGTGATGTTCTGGAACATTATTTCATCTTTACTTGCAAAATGAAATGCAAATGGTTCATTTAAACAGCACCAGTAGGTGATGGCTAGGAAGCTGGCAGACTTCAGCCACACGTTTCCACTCCACCCCCACCAGTCATCCCAATGACTAGACTAGGGGCTCAGGGCCTACCAGGCTGAGAGTGTTGACGGGGGTTGATATAAAGGATTAAGTTTATCACAACATAAGTATAGTCCTCTGACGTGAACAATCTAAAACAGCAGTGTTTAGTCTTTAAAGAATTCAAAGTACATCAATTCTTGAGTGGATGGAGTTCCCAAAGAGCCCCCTGCAGGTGTCCCGCTTGGAGGCCAGGTTGGCCAGCCCACCAGGTCGCCTGCTTCTCACCCCCCGCAGGAGAAACAGTAGCAGCTACTACCCGTGAGCCTGACAGTTTCCAGCCCAAGCCCGGCTGTCAGTCACGCCAACCTGGCAGCTTCCGGCCCTAGACCCTGCCTCCAACTCCCGTGGTTCCTCAGCCCGTTACTGCCCCCTACCGCGCCCTCCCTGCCATTGCATCCCACCCTTTGGAACCCCAACCCGGCGACTCCAGCCCAGGAAGCTTCTCCAGTCAGCCACTGGTCATTCTAGTAACTTTCTGGAGGCCCCAAGTTCCAGGAGGCCCCTCTGCTTTTGTAAATTCCCCCCCTCTACTTCCAGTTGCGGTCACTGCCCCACTGCCCTGAAACAGCGAACTCTGTCCCTTGCCTGAACTCACACCAAAGGAGCCCGGCGTTTGAACCTGCGCCTCTCGCTCTTCCCTTTCACTGTACAAAGGAGCCCATAGCTGTCCTTGTAGATTTTCCTCTCCACCCTCCCTTATTTTTTCCCTCTGCTTTGCAGCCATCCCAGGCTGAGGGAGGCTCATGGCCGGTTCTTGCCGGTGTAAAGATAATTTTGGAGTCTTCGGTAGATTTTTACAGGTGTATTTATGAGTAAGCAGGACACAGACCAGCTTTCTCTCTCAGCGTTTCTCTGGCGTTCTCTGGTGTCAAGGGGACGCTGACCTTATATCCCCTCCCTTCTAAGCCCAGGTGTGCACATTTACGCATGCGCAGTGTGCGCATTTGCACGCGCACACCCTGCGCTCCCCGGGCCCAGGTGTCGGCAATGGTAGGCGCTCGGGCCCCACGCCCACGCCCCTCGCTCTGGGAGTCCACGCTAGCAGCCGAAGCATGGGGAAAAGCCCACTCTCTTCATTTACCCTACACCCTGTCTAGGAGACTGAGACATCAAGAGAAGGCAGGTCCCCAAGATAGTGGGTAGTATTGCCCGTTGGGGTGTGCCCTTCTCAAATCCAGCTGCAGAATTCAGCAACGGATGGGGCAAGCACACAGGGGCACCAAGTTGCTGGGGAGTCAGGGCAGTCACTGGAAGCTTCCAGAAACAGGCATAATCCAGACCAGCAGAAACTGATTAAACTGCGTAGGTTTTTTTTTTTTTTTGGGGGGGGGGTGTTGCTGCTTGTTTGTTATTAACAATGTGCTGACAGCTGGGCTTTGCCTGTAATTGTGATTGGCATCCCCTCCCTCAGCTGCCTTGGCAACCAGCATCACAGCTCAGGCCTCCCGCATACTCTGGCCAGTGCAGGCCTCAATCTGGGGCCCAGGAAGCTATGGGTACTTGGGGAACACAGAGCAAACGGGGCACAGGCAGTGATGAGTAACCAGGAAGGGGTCTAGACAAAAGCCTTTCCTTACCCCTTTAAGAAGAGCAGAACTTTTTCATGGCTTGGGCCCCAACATCACCACATCACAAGGACAGAGGGGCCTTCATGCCCTCTGTCCTCCTTTCCTTCGAACCTGACCCAACATGCAAATTGTGCAAAAGCACAGTCTGTCCCTGGGCTTCAGGATCCCCAAAGACCCAGCCTGTGCTGGGGCTCTGACTACCTAAAACCCCCAGGCATTCAAGTGGAGCCTGCGCGCCACCTAGTGGAGTATTTGGGGGAACTGCACCAGATTCCTGCTTCAAATCTGGCTCCTGAATGATTTTCCGTGGGAAGAGGAATCTTAACTTTGAAAAGAAATAGTTCTGTGATCATAATGGCTGTGACGTTGTTGCCTATTGTTGCTGAAGGACTGTTACCTCAGCGGTGCCCTTGAAGATTCTTATCAGATTTGATTATACAAGTCAGTTATGATCACATTTATGGCTACCTCACAAATGCACTGTCCCCTAATTGCACCTTGAGGTAACTACATAAATGCACCTTAATGTAACTACATCTTAGGATAATTACACTTAGCCTACCTACATGTTAGCATAACTACCTCTTGACACCTAAATCCTGGTATAGCTGTATTGATATAAATGCATCTTGGCGTAATTTTATCTTATCCTAACTGTCCCTGGACACGACTTCACTCTGGCATACCCCACCTTGATAGATCTCCACTTGATGTAACTGCACCTGACATCCTCATGTAGCAATATTTGTGCATCACGATTTTGGATGAGAACTGTGAATCTTGAAGCAAGTATAGGCCTCACCTGAGTTCATAAAGCTAGAAAGAGCTTCCTCTGCACTCCATACTGCTTTTCATGACCCCCAATTTGGGGCCTAAGGCAGGCAGCTTGGTGGAGTTCACTCCAAGAGAGTGAATCCCTGCATTCCCCTCTTCCTGCAGTTGAGAGTGGGTCTCCTTATAAAGAAACACAGGCATAAGGAAGGAGGTATATTAACAAGAGCTGCCAGTCTTCCTCATGAAAAGTGAACCTCAAGGTTCACTGCTTAGTCACCTCTTGGCCACAGTGGCCTCTCCAGGCTCCCAAATCCGCATGCCTCTCAAGGCTGGTTCTGGCATCGTTAAGGCCAGTCTGCTCAGAAGTGCTCCCGGATGCTCCCTCGGGGTCCAGGGGGCACACAGTGTCTTACTTTGTTAACTCTACTGTGTGCTGGCCCAGCACTAGGGTTGGGTTGAAGAACTAGCTAGCCAGCTCAAGTAGCTCCTGAAAATATTCATAAAGGGTCTTCCAAGATGTCCAGAACAGATTTTTCCAAGAGGAGTCAGCTTGGCCTGTGGAATTAAGGCCTGTCAAGTCCCTGCAGGTTTTAAGAGAAATTGTTGTTGCTTTAACTACTTAGAAGAATACAGGTGATACAAGTTTAAGGTTATCTCCAGAAATAACCTTCCTATCAGCGAAACCCTCTATATGGCAAAGAACACGCCTTCATCACTGGGATTGGCCTGTCAGTTAGGGTGAGTATCCCAGACAGCCACCAGGCAATGTGGTGAGAATTAAAATGTGTCCTGTCAAGATACTGGGGCGACTCGGGAGGTGCCAATAGGGAAGCCAGAGCTTCAGAGTTTTCTCTTCTGTGACTCCCTGCACTCTAGGAGCAGAAATAACATGATACAAAATGATAAATTCTAGAATCAGCTCAGACAATCCCCGTCACATAATAATTTATTTCATTTCAAAACAACAGCAGGCACAGGCAGTGATGAGATTTTTGCCCACCCCATCGCCTGAGGTAGGAGACCCAGCACAGAGAAGAGGAAGAGGGGCTAGAAGCCCCACACAGTGGAGAATGCCAGAAAGCATAGCTTCCTTTTGAAGAACATTTACTGTGAAATCCAGCACCTTGACTGTAGGTTTCCGTGTGTACGCAACCAGCCCTCTCTTTGAGTGCATTGCCCAGGCCCTGGCCAGACCTTCACAGCATAAGACTGGCCTCACCCAGCTGCACCACTCAAGGGGATGCAAGGGGCACTGGTGTACTGAGAAGCACGGTCCCTGGGCTCCTCTCCTGCTTCCTGAGATGTCCCATGTGGTGTGACAGGAACCCAGAAGTGCCGGCCTGCCTCCATCATAGATGGTCTTTTCTGGGGGACAAAGTGCTGGGCCTTGGAGACCTGACCCCAAAATCCTGCAGCCGTTTCCTGAAAGTCCTGACTTTGGAGAAAGGGCTACACCCTTCTCCTCATCCCCCACTCCTGCCCCTCCTGCCCACCCACCAGCTCTTACTGTGTAACAACTCTGTAGAATCATTCACTTGTTTTCCCTCTCAAATCCACCCTCAGCATTGATTTTATGCCAATTTCCCTTGGATCCGACAGCGGGGGAGGTCTGGGCACTGTAGCGGGCCCAGGCTGCTCCCCAGGGGTGGGGAGCTGGTTGGGACAAGGACCCCAGAGCACAGGTACGGCCGGCAAACAGTATCACCTTTGGGTGGGGAGGTGTTAACAGCACCATTTTAGTTTTAAGGAAATAAGACTGAATGTTCTTATAAACCTGATGTGGGCCACCTCACTCCTGAGGCGGAATCCAGAACAGGTGTGACAGTGTAGATCTGAGCGTCTCAACAGTGAGGACCTCAGATGTTAGTTTCTACAAGAGCTGGGTTCTTGGTGGGAAGATTCTAAGAGATTGTTACTTTCCCAGGCAAAGGAAACAACTGATTTTTCATATTCATCAGAATGAACTGAAAAGTCCAAACAGATGTGCCAGTGTGATGTCATCTCTCAGGCTGAAAAGATGGTTTATCCCATGGATGATTCTGTGGATCTATTTAGCATCCAGATGGCCAATATTGAAAGTTGCTTCAGGGAGCCAGTAACCCGGGTATTAAGAGAATTTCTCCTTTGGGCAGTTCCTTGATTCTCAGTGGTAGTAGATGCTGAAGGCGTGGAGGATATAGAGCAGGGTGGTGATAAAGGCAAACAACTGGAAAACAAGCGAGTGACTGTTATGATGGCCAGACCCATGACTGCCCTGCCGCCGGGGCCCTCGGCCCCAGCAGCTGGGCCCAGTGTCCTGACCCTGTCCCGGCTCTGCCCCATACCCTGCCCAGCCTGTGGACAACTCCGCCTCCTCCTTGGAGCTCTCTGTCCTGGCATCCATGGTGCTATGGTCCTGCCCTGACTGGTTCCACGTTCATCCACAAATGTGTCCTCCTCCACCAGGCCGCAAGGGGGCGGTCGCCATCTCTGTCCCAGGTCCTCTCTGGTGCTGCCCTCCTGCCTAAGCACTCTCCCCCAATCCACCCTCATCCTCGCCTCTACTCTCACTGCTCCAGATCTCTGCCCTCGAGCCTGCTTGTCAGCTCCATGAGAATGCCTGGGGAGCCATCAAGCGCTCAGTGGCCCAGACTGAGCAAACCTCACACTGTCATTGGCTCCAGGACCCTGCCCACCCAGCTCTTCAGGAAAGCCCATGCCCCTCTGAACCCACCCTTCCTCCACTGCTTGTCCAAAGCCATTCCCAGAGTCTTGGTACACACCCTCCAGGCCTGGCCGACCAGTCTGCACCCCATCACCCCACTGCCTACTCCCACTATTTCATCAGGCATTCATTCATTCATTCACTTAAAAATACATGTAAAGGGCCCTCCCTGGTGGCACAGTGGGTTAAAGCGCAGCACTAAGAAGCTAAAGCCACATCTGCATGAGTTCGATTCCCGCCTGCCCCGGGGGTGAGCACATGGGGGTGACCACATGGCGTGGCAGACCTCTCCTGACCCGCCCGCTGCTCCCCTCAGCAGTGTACTTCGTTGATCTGCCTGTTCTGCTCCCCACTCTGTCTCTGGTGAAGCCTCTCACTGCCCCTGAGCCTCTGGCCTGTACCCCAGTTCTGTATGCACAAATAAATAAATCTTTAAAAAAAATACATGTAAAGTATTTGCTATATTTCAAGAGGGACAGTGGCTATAGCAGTGGGTCACAGTGCTTGCCCAGCCCCCCATTCTTATGATGGGGACAACATCCCATGCTACACCCTTCTTCCTGCCACCTAATCACTGCAGGAACCCCACCCTCTGACTACACTGCTGGGTCCAGAGAGGGAGGGGCGCTCCACCCCACGCAGGCCTTACAGTGTCCCTTCCTCTGCAGTGTACTGTGGAGGGGCTCTAGAGGAGGCGCCTGCAGGCTGTGGCTCGCTGCCACACGAGGCGCCACTCCTCAAGGGGTGAGAAGAGGCTGCTGTGCAGAGACTAGAAGAAGAAATGGAGCTGGCCCTGAGTCTGGGGCCTAGCATATCGAAAGTCTAGGGGGTCCTGGTCTTCCCAGAGTTTGGCAGGACCACCTTGCGCTGGGCTCCTCCCGTCAAACGCTGCTCTGGTGCACCTCTGTCATTGAATGAAAGGACGTGGAAACAGCTGGGCTGTGCTAAGAAATTTGGGCTCCATGAGCAGTGGGAGCCAGGGAAGGTTTTCCTTAGGGAGAGAGATGCTCTAATTTGTATTTTGTATTTTTTTTTTAAAGATTTATTTGTGCATACAGAACTGGGGTACAGGCCAGAGGTGCAGGGGTGGCAAGAGGCTTCACCAGAGACACAGTGGGGAGCAGAACAGGCAGATCAACGAAGTACACTGCTGAGGGGAGCAGCAGGCGGGTCAGGAGAGGTCTGCCACGCCATGTGGTCACCTCCGGGGCAGGCGGGAATCGAACTCATGTGGAAGTGGCTTTAGCTTCTCAGTGCTGTGTTTTAACCCGCTGGGCCACCAGGGAGGGCCTGTATTTTGTATTTTAGGGGAAAAAGGTATTCAGAGGACTGTGTAGCAGATGTCAGAGGAAACAAAGCGGAGGTGGGAGAAACAAAACATGGGGGTGGCCTGAATTAGGGCCTGTGACACTCCAAGCTCTGAAGTGCACAAAACCCCTCCATGCCCTGGGGTTCCTTCAGCCAAGGGGCTCAGGTCCGTCTCACAGACAAAGCTGAACCTCATGTGACACCCGCCCCAGCATCGATGTCTGGCCCTGCACTCACCGTGGCTGCCGTGTTCAGGTAGTACTTCTCCACCATCACCTCAGAGATGATGGTGGCATGGGCCTGTAAGACCGCTGCGCTCATGTAGAGGATGCCGGTGGTCCCATGGTACAAGCTGTCCTGGAAAGGGAGAGCAGAGGCGATGGCTGATGTCATGTGGGCACTCAAACAGGGGAGCCCTTTCCTCCCTGGCTACACATCTGGGCAGAGTGAGAAGAGAACAGCTGGTTCCTGCAACTCCCACTTCTTTTGGGGAAGTCTTTGATATCTATGTAGTAAACACTAATGGATTAATCAGTAGTAATAATACTATCAACATCGGCCAACATTTGTTGAGTGTGCATCTGTGCCAAGCTCTGTGCTAAACTCTGTTCTCATTTATCTCACTTCACTTTGACCACTGTGAGCTAGGTGCTTTTTCAGTGAGCACAGTTTTGAGAAAATGGAGGCTCAAAGTCAAGGTCAATGAACAGGTGACGGCATCAGGATCTGAACTTAGGCCCTGTGAACTCCAAGCCTATGCTCTTGACCACTAGCCCTATGAAGACCTGCCATGTGTGGTCACTATACTAACAATATCCATATATTGTCTTGTTTCATCTTGCTAGGTAATTTTTAGTAGCCGTTTTAGTAGCCATTTTCCTATGGCTACTATTTTGACCCCTAATTTATAGATTGGAAAAAGGTCATGTAGTAGAGCTGGTAAAGTCAGCTTAATCGAATTAAAATTTTGATACTTAAACTTTTGATACTAAACTCTCAACAGTGTTTTTCGACACGTATGTCAAGCAGCCATTTAAAATGGTCATCAGTGTTGGAGGAATGTCAAAATAGACCAATCAGTATTTGCAATCCCAAATGATACGTTCGATTCAGGACAATTAGTCAGGAGATAATAGAAAGAATGAGAGAAAAAGCCGATGGAGCAAGACTGTTACATTCCTGTGTGTGACTGCCAGTCACCTGTGTGATGTGACTTGAAGCCACTTAGGGAATGGTCTTGACAGGAAGGTTTAATTCATCTTCAATGAGCCTTTAGTACTGAATTCTAGTTTGCAGAAATTTCAGGGATAGAGGAGCAAGGAAAATCACACCAGGAAGAAACAACGTTGTATGTGTGTGATAATATAAGAAAGTTTGCATATATTTTGGAGGTAGGCTAAAGTGTACAGAATGGAATGATGTGATGTTTGGGATTTGCTTGAAAAATCTTTGAGAGTAAAAAAGGCTTGATGAAGCAGGTGTATAAAATCTTGATAATGTTGGAGTCTGGATTATAATTATGTGAGTTTCCATAATCTAATCTTTCCTATTTTTGTGTATGTTTAAATTATTCAATAGAGAAAACATGTTGATGACTATCAAGATGATGTGACAACATGAAAACATTATATTAAGTGAAAGAAGCTACATCCAAAATTATGGTTCAGTGTAATTAAAATATGGACATTTTGCATAAAATTTGCAAGACTATGGATGAACCCAGTTATTGTGATAAGATCTTGAGATTGGATGATATGCTTCTTATTAGTATTTCTGTTGACATTATACCAATTTACCATAAATAAAGTTGAGGGACAATGTGTCAGGATGTGCTTAAGACAGGACTATACAGCCTAGATATACGGAAGGCATGGGAGAAATACAGTGACAGAGGTGCTGTGGCTGAGGGCTGTTTTCTTTTTAATAACACACGCATAAAAATAAAGTCTAGGCTCCTTGGAAGTCACTGGTCCCAGGTCTGAGGTTCCCCTCACCACCCAGAGGCCCATGGTCCTTATAACACTTGAGGGGGGAGGACATCGGCCCCAGAGGAGCAGGGCTGGGTTCTTACCAGGACAATCCAGGAATCAAATCTTTTGTAAAATCCCAACAAGTAAGACAACAGGAACACCAGGGAGATGAGAAAGGAGGTGAGCGAGACATACATCACCCATCCTTGCAGCAATGGGTATGTCACCTGGGTCGCAGCTACCAGGATCCAGACCCAGAACCCACATATCTATAAAGAGAAAACCGTAAGAAGTTTTATTTGCTCGCCCTGTGCAGTTTACCGTTGTGTGAAGGTTAACAGCTCTGGCTCGGCTGTCTCTAGTTACCTTAACTTCAGGTGAAGTTAAATGGGAATTGAGGGGAAGCTGCCCCTGTTGTGGTGGTAATTTAGGTCTCGTTGTTAGAAAATCCAAGGGGTTAGCTCGAAGGTTGTCCATGGAAGGACTTGACCAGAGGTGGCCAGTGGCTGTGTCCTCTTGGGCCAAATAGTGTTGGCATGTACAATTTTTTTAAAGATTTATTTATTTATGCATACAGAACTGGGGTACAAGCCAGAGGTGCAAGGGCGGTGAGAGGCTTCACCAGAGACAGAGTGGGGAGCAGAACAGGCAGATCGACAAAGTACACAGCTGAGGGGAGCAGTGTGCGGGTCAGGAGAGGTCTGCCGCGCCATGTGGGTCATCTCTGGGCTGGGGATCAAACTCGTGCTGAAGTGGCTTTAATTTCTTAGTTCTGCGCTTTAACCCCCTGTGCCACCAGGGAGGGCCGGCATGTATAATTTGATAAGATATTTCTAGATCAATTGCTGACACTTAAAACAGGTTATTTCACACAAGAAATACAGATCTCAGATATTTCTTACCAAATCCATGCTTCTGGCCATAATGAACCCATTTCCCCAGGCCATAGTAGACTGAAATGATCTGTGACCATATCATTAAAAAGGACCTAGCAGACCACACCACTTCCCCTCAGCCTGACACCACTCCCTGACGCGCACTTCCACGGTAGAGTAGTGCTCACCTCGTGCTCCTCTTCACCCATTGACAGCCTGCCTGGGCTCTGAGTGTGTGGTCCGCAGCCCTCCAGGTATAGTTTCTGACACGAGGCCAGTTACGAGCTGGACAATAGAGTCCCAGTTTAATCACCTTTCAGCTCTGTCCAGTCACTTATTATCCCCATGATGGAGAGATCAAATCTTTCTCCTGTACCTCTGGGTTGTGTCCTTATTTGACTGGGGGTGATGAGTCTAGGGCAGAATTGAAACATCCAACATACATGTCCAGGTGAGGCTGGAGAGGAAGGGTCCCTCACTCAAGTGATTTTTTTTAAAGATTTATTTATTTGTGCATACAGAACTGGGGCACAGGCCAGAGGTGCAGGGGTGGTGAGAGGATTCACCAGAGACAGAGTGGGGAGCAGAACAGGCTGATTGACGAAGTACACTGCTGAGGGGGGCAGCGGGCGGGTCAGGAGAGGTCTGCCGTGCCATGTGGTCACCTCCGGGGCAGGCGGGGATTGAACTCATGCGGAAGTGGCGTTAGCTTCTTAGTGATGCGCTTTAACCCGCTGCGCCACCAGCAAGGGCCCTCAAGTGGTTTTGTTACTGGTTTGTCTCAACTTCCGAGCTCCTCTCCTGAGATGCCTTGGTTCTCCCTCTCTTCACCTCTGTTAAATCTGTGCTGCTGCACCCCACATAGGCTGGCCTCCCAAGGCACCCACCCCAGCCCCTCTTGTCCACTTGTCCTCTGGATGTCCTCACCGGACATCCCTCTGGGGGTATCCCTGCACTGTCATGACCTCAATAGCAAGTGCTTCACTGATGTTTACATCCTAGACACCGACTGTGCCCCACCCGGTCCTGGTCCTGCCCCTTGAGCTCGTCAGGCCCAAAGTACAATACCTGAACTCAGTTACTCCTCCCCGCCCCCAGCACCAGCTGAGGATAATGATCCTTCTGAGGGAGAGAGGGTGTGAGGATGAGGGGATGAGGATGCGTGTGTGAAGCTTCCAAAGATAATGATGATGTTCTATCTCTGACATTCCTGGGGGCACATGGGAGTGTATATTTTATAAAGCAGGAAAATAATTTTGAAAAAGAATGATTTTTTGGAACATGGGTACTTGGGGTGGTGGCGGGGGAAACAAGGATGGCTCCTGGGCTTGTGGTTTGTAGAAAACACACTACCTTTTCCTTTACAGCCTGTGCTTTTCTTGTCAAGCTAAGAAATCTTTCCTTACTTGAAAGATATTCTTGCAGCTCAGGTATTATTTCTAGGATTATTTTCTGTCTTAAAATAAAATTGTTGGGGCCCTCCCTGGTGACTCAGTGGATTAATGCAGCACTAAGAAGCTAAAGCCACTGCAGCATGAGTTCGATCCCCGCCTGGGAGGTGACCCACAATGCGCGGCAGACCTCTCCTGACCTGTCTGCTGCTTCCCTCAGCAGTGTGCTTCATTGATCTGCCTGTTTTTCTCCCCACGCTGTCTCTGCTCACTTTTTTCTCCCAGGGCTAGTGAGTCTTGATGGTGTGCGCATGACTGTGGGGGAGCTCAGTTCTGACCGATGCTAAGACAGACCTTCTGGACTAAGTAACTCCACTTCTGTCTTGTTCAGCTGAAGGACACGAAACTTCCAATGCTCGCTTTTCAAAACATATTCCTGACTTTCTGGGACTAGTAGTACCCATCTTGGCAATAAACCTACACATAGATGTACTGCCCACCCCTTATCAGGCTTCCACTGTTGCTGTCCTAGAGAGGAAAGGCATTACTGAATTTATGAAAAATTCATGGGCTCTTAAAGAGAGATGTGGAACAGGAGATGAGAACCCAGAATAGACTAGGAAGCTGATCTCGAGGCAGCACCCTCAGCTCTTAGAGGCTGGACAAAGGCCCCAGAAACCCAGCCTGCAGAAACCCAGACTTCTCAAGGCACCAGCTGGGGGAAGCACATTCCCCAGACCTTAACAATCAAACTCCAAGTGAGTGTTGGAAGCCCTAGGCTGGACCTGGGGCTGCCTGTCTTGAAAATGGGTTGTGGAGAGATCAGCACTTCTGTCCTCTGATCACCCTGAGAAGGGTTCTTGTGTGTCATTCCTAGTGACAGGAGCTGTTGATGCCATAGGGAGGTACCAGGGCTCAGTGGTAGGGGACCTGCCAAGTGTCTTCCCTGCCAAGCCATGGGAAACACATAAAAGTAGAGCACATTGTCAACTTTCAAACAATGCTTGCTATCAGTGGGAACAGCACTCAGGATTCAGTGACTGCCCCAGAATGTATGACATTTTAGATTTATATTAGACCCCTGTGGGAAGGGAATGATCTGTGCCATTCACTGCTGTATTTCTGGTATCCTGACAAGGGTCTAGAACAAAGTAGGTAGGAAGGGGGTCCAAGCACATTCTTTTGACTAAAACTATACCACCACCACCATCACCTCACCTTCACCAGAAGCATGCGCTCACTCCGACTGCCTCCTGGCTCTGCTCTGTTCTAACTCCTGCAGCTCCCTAAGGTGGAGGAGCTTACTGCCAGCTCTCCCACACCAGGCCTGGGGAGGGGACAAGGGTACCTTAGCTCCACCACCCCATCCATGCCTGCAAAGGGGGCCCCGCCCTTCTCTTGCCATCAAAGACTGACCTGCCAGATACTACTTACCTGTCCCCCCTTAATTCTCCCAGTCTGTGAAATGGAGCAGGACTGGAGGGGCCACACAGGGAATGGGTCTCTCTTCACAAGCTGATTTCAACTCCCTGGGCAAGAGTCCGCAATTGTGGGGGGACCTACTCAAATTGCATGGGAAGCTTCTGCAATGGCTTTAGTGGTGCACAAACAAAGTCACAAGAAGAATGCTATTTACTTTCTGTTTCCACACCCTCAGCCTTCTGAACAGCGGAAGGGACCAGGGCCAAGGACAAACTCCAGATGGAGGCAAACCCAGTAGAGTTTATCTCCTTTCTGTCTCAAGCAGTTCAGGTTGGATTTTTTTTTTTTATAAGTAGGGCAACTTTGAGTGTTTGTCTTGACTAAAAAAAAACCCACACAACAAAAATCTTACATTTAACTTTTCAGATTTTCTTGGCAATCTAAACTGCTCTATTATTTTAATTCTCATTTTTTATTTCCCAAGGGCAAAAGATATTTTTAGATGTTGGAATTGGCCCCCAAGTGGCATGTTTTATTGTAGTTAGATATTTCACTCACATGCATTTCAAGTATAATCTTGGCATTTTTTCTTATGAACAAACACAAATTACTCATCTATGCGTTTTCCAAAGGCTGAACTGCAACTCAAAAGGGTTTTTTAAGGTAAAAGGAGCGTAAGGATAAGTTTGCTTACTTATTCTTCTCTAGAACATGGAGAATGGCTTGCTTACAATTTGAAAATGGGTAAAAGTACTAGAGTATAAAACCGGGGTAACGCTGTCCAGATTCCAGTTTGAACTGGAACGTCTATTACCTTCAATAAAGAAAATCTTGTAAGGTGCCTGGGGTGAAATCTGAAGGATCTGGAAGATTCCTGCTGGTGAAGGGGGGGGCTGGGACAGGCAGTAACAGCCACAAGCGACTGAAACCCATCAACTAAATCAAATCAACAAGGTCAATGTGGTGCACTAAAGCAGCTCCAAAGTCTGGGTCCTGCCCCAGAGATTCTGACTGAACTCAAGGGAGGCTGCAGTGTTCAAAGTCCCCTACACACGCAGAGGTCAGGGCCTGAGAACCGGCTTACCCATTACCCACACCAGTGCCTGTGGCATGTTCCTCCTGGGTTTGTGCCACATGTCCTTCTCCCTCAAACAGAGGAGGTGGGGACCCACCTCTTGTTCTGTGAGAGCCAGAGCCTCTCTGTGGCCCCTGGGGACTGTTGGGAGCCATTGCTAGCTAACTCATTGCAGTGTTACAGATAATGGGTGCAAATAGTCCCGGAGGAAGGCCCAGAGGAGGGAATCCCCAGGTTCTAACTTTCTAAGAGAGGAGAAATTCCCTCTGGGACAGCTGGGAGGTCAGTCAGCTGGATGAGTGAGGTAACATTTTGGGGCACAGACCCTTCTGAGAAGTTGATGAAAACGTTGGTCACCTCGAAGAATGGGCCTACGTACACGCACAGTTTCTGCCTACACATTTCAGAACTCACAGACCCTCAAAATCACTCACAGGCCTCAGGTTGAAGTCATTTGCCATCTACAGGTTCAATAACAGTGCTGTCAACTGCCCTGTTCTTGTGAC